AAAGTCGATTTAGACGCAACTATAGAAAACATAGATAAATAGTAATCTAGAAGCAATTATAAAAATCTTTTTGTGTGGATAAATATAAAAACCTAGTACATGCTAATATAAAATGTTGACAGTTAAAAGTAGCAAAATGGGCTCGGCTGGGAGGGCCGGCCACCCCATCCGCCAAACGGGCGAGTTAGCTCGCCAACACGTTTTTTTTATTTATATATTTACTGTCTAACAAACCCGTCTTTGTATGGCTAAGATAATTAGATTTAAAGCTGTAAAAATTTCAAAAACAAGCATCTAAACAAAATGAACAATCAGATTGTGATAAATGAAAGTCCATCTATGATAAATACTGGAAGAAATGAGTCAAACTACGTAATTTTTGAATGATTACAGGACAAGCTAATACAATGACATCTGCATTTTATATAAAAAGATCAAACAAGATGTCTTTGCAAAGTTTGGTGGACAGTCAAGTAATCACTAAGCCCACATGTACATAACTTTATACATGGATGTTTCGTTTGAACAAACAAAAAATATTACACAATTTACAAAAACGACTATTCAACGTTTTGCAATATATCATTATTTTAATACTATTTATAATTAGTTGTTTCCAATTCAGTGAGTAGTTGACTTTTCATATTCTTCACCAAATTGTTGTTGGTATAGTTGAAGTATTATTGAGATTAAATACGATGTATTAAATATATGCTTATATATATGTTAATTTTGTGAATAATTATTTATACGTATGCAATTAAGCTAATGAATGGTCTTTTAAATTACCACTTTTAACTTTAGTTATAAAGTGTTTGTTAAAATATTACACGTACTAACTCAAATATTTGTCAACTCTACATGTACAAAAGCTGGAGTTATGTACCTCATAGTATTAATTTAAATAAAATGCAGTGATATACGTTTTCGATTTAAGTTAATTTTTACGAGACAGACAAATCGATTTTTTCTCTCCATGCAACGTATGTATAATATACTAGTTAAATTATTGAACTTAGTAAATAATGAAGATGAGTTTTTATTTTTATGCATTGGTCAAACACAACATGAAGATCATGATCATTTTATATTATATACTGATTTTGTCATGTTGTAGGAGGTAATTACATCTCCTAGGGCCTCTTTGGTAGAGGTACTTACTAAAAAATGCCAGGAAAGTAAATGTGGGTTTCGCCTTTACCCATGTTTGGTAGGAGGTTTGACATTATTTTCCCTGGTATGCAGTTTACCCAGGAAATTGGCTTATGAACAAATTGTGACGTAGTTTCCCGTATCAAATTACCTCCAAATATGTGGTTTTTGTCAAAAATCAGAAACAAGGATTTGTTGTCTCATTTTTTCGAACAGTTGTGCCCTTCCATTTTGACAGTTGGTCTTCACAACGTCATCTCTATCTTTCTTGATCATAAAATATCATGGATGTTCTACTGTGAGGTTGGTTTGGAACCTTATTTGCAGAACCTTATTTGTGCGTTCTTTGCCTCCTTCACCCAACCTAACACTTGCAAACCCTGAAATAACTGGTTTAGTGGATCTGGGGATAATCAACATGAATATCGATACAATGCTGAAAGAAATAACCCTGGAAAAATACTCTTTTTTGAGTGGTGGTGTTTTTGTTTGTAATCGTGTCTATTACGAGGTTATTTACGTAAAAGTATCACATATTCCCAGTAAAATTTTATCATCAACCAAACAACCCCTCAGGAAAGTTAACCAAAATTTCTGATAATATTTTCGCCTAGCAAACAGATTTTTTGTAACATTCCCAGTAAACTCATATTCTTATCATATTCCAAGTAATCATGATTTCTGAGTAAAAAAAAAATTCTCCTCTACCAAACGCTTTCTTACATACACATAAAAGAATGTGAGATTATATAAAAAGAAGAGAAAGAAGCAAAAAAATATAAGCTCTACACATTTTTATGTATGTATAAAATATAAAATCATTTTCTACAACATGAAAAATACTAATCTCGTATAATAAGTAATAACGAACCAACATGGCAACGTCCATGTAATGTTATAAAATAGATTTCTGCTTTTAAGAGCCAATCTTGACATTAATCAGTTTTTTTTTCCATAGAAAATACTATACCTGAATGAAAAATCAGCCTAAACTAACTGTCAACGCTAACATTCCTATATAAGCACAAAACAGTTAGGGCCTGTTTGATTGTGTTTTAGTTTTTTTGTTCTTAAAACTGTTTTGTAGAATAATTATGGAAACAATTGTTTTTTATGTTTTTTTTTTTGTTTTGAAATTTAAAAACAAAAACAGAAAACAAAAATAACTCAGACATGTTCTCTAAATTTGATTCTAAAAACAAAAAAATTGTTACAATTTTTAATTTTTTTTTTTTTACAAAACAGGCTTACCAAACGAGTTTTTTTATTTTTTTTTCTGAAAAAAAAAATTTATTTTTAAAAACAATAACCAAACAGAGTCTTAGATTGTTGGTCCACCCCCTCCGCAGTCAAGAACTCGAGAGTTATTTTTCCAGTGATCAAACAGAAACGTGTAACAACAAATCAAATCATTATGTCTTATAACTAACTTTTCAATCTTGTACAAATTTTTTTTTTTTTTTCAATATGTCAAATAATCTCAAATCTAGTGCTCTATTACGTTCAATTTTGCCTTCAAACAATTCTTGTTATTTGGACTGTTCCATTCAATGGTAAGATATCTGACATTTTTTTTTATCCAAAGCCGGTTTTTTTTTTTAATTTAAATTTTAAATAAAAAATGATATTTTGTGTCTATATCTTTCTTAAAATGACATAACGTTATGTCATTTAAAATGACAAACACTTTTATCATAAATACACTATATTATTTAATTATTCAGAAGAAAATAGTTTATGTGGCATGGTAATGATAGATTTTGTGTACTGTATATAATATATGACTCTAACTAGTGCATGAGAAATACTTCTATAGTTTTTTTTTGTCACGTTAAAATTTGTTACTACAATGTAAACTAATGAATTATTCTTGGAAAAAAAAAACTATTCATCTTTTACAACAAATCATTATTAAACTTAAAGGAGTGGTCTTTATCCAATACTCGAAGGCAGGACATCCTTGCAATCTTTTTTAACTATATATTAAAAGAGTAGTACATAGTAACCAAATAACTAAGTAATCACTTCTCATTAAACTCGACTAGCAAGAGTGGAGTGGAGTGGAAGAAATTCTTGTACGCAGCCTTATCCTTGCATAATTGCAAAGATACTGTTTTAATTATGTAAGAATAAAGTTGCGTACAATGATGCAGCTTTTAATATTATAACTATGTAAGAGTGGTACATAGTTATAATATTAAAATTATTTTTTTATGATGATAACATCAGCAACTTTATTATTTTAATTATATATTACTCTTTAATATTTTAATTATATATTACTCTTAGTACATAATTAAAATATAGTTATTGAACAAAAAAAAACTCATCCTTACAACATAATACTTTTATTTTTCTATTTTTTTTATATATAAATCAGTGTTTGAAATCTTAATAAATCTAGTTAATCCGATTTTGGATTTAAGTCTCTGTTACAAGTTACAACTATCAAAATCGAACCTCTACCCTTGAAATAGACTTTAGGGGGCGTTTGGTTCAGAATTTTTTTTTGGAATAGTAGGAAAATGAGATAGATAGAGAAATAATTGGAAAGATAGATAAAGTGAGATAGGTAGAAAAATGTAAAAAAAAAGTTGTTTGGTAGGGAAAAACTTTACTGGGAAAATGAGGTAACTTTATGAAATCAACAGTGCATTAAAAGCCAGATAACCGGTTTTTCGAAAAATCCTACCTTCAAATTGGGTTTCTAAACAGTGCGGATATCTATGTTTCTCATAAATCCAGACAAATTGGATAGATGGGTTTTTGGTGAAAAACATTGAAATAAACATGGTGTTTCTAAAAGTCATACTTGAGAAAGATAAATATCCGCTGAAAAGCTCCCAACCAAACACCACCTTAGGTTAAATAAACTTAATGTTACATGATTTTTTTAAATAAAAAATGAATTATATAATTTTTAATTTGAAAATGAAAATTATTGTATGACTGGTAATATTTTTACATCAATTTATTAAAATTATTTTATATTTTAATTATATTTTTAAATTTTATGACACTGACTATTAATAATGCCTATTTTTTTTTTCAAAATCTTGAAGTGCCTTCACGACTTAATAGTTAATGTGACATTTAAAAATGGTGAAATTAAAATATTAATAATTTATTTTTACTCTAAAATTATTTGTCGCTTAATTTTTTTATATTTTTTTTCAAACTTTTAATCAATTATTTTTCATTTTTTTCGTATAAATTCATCTAAAATTTAATGAATAATTAAAAAATGTCAAAAATACCTTTCAATTATCATATATGTAATTGAATCATTTCTTTCCATTTTAAATGATTTTAAGCTCGATAATACAACCTTTCAATCATAACATATAATTGAATTATTTGCTTCCATTTTTAATGATATCAAGACACAAATTTATAAATTTATTTTTCATTTAACCAATATTTAAAGAAAAAAATAAATACTATTCACGAGAGCAAAATATAAAGAGTGTATTGGATTGAGATTTTAAATAATTTTAATCAATTATTTTTGGAAAAAAAATCCATTTATGTTCATTAGAATTTTAAAGAATTAAAAAAAATATCACATAATATTGGACTAGAATTTAAAATATCTATTCAAATATGATGATATTCAATCCTAATCAAATTCAACCCTTAAATTGAGATCAATGGAAAAGATACAGAAAGTAAGTTAATTTATTTTATTTTTTTATTTTACAGTAAACCAATAAGTTATAACCAAATCACAAGTATTTGAATTTAACCTTAAGCGTTCCTAATTAAATCACGCTTTGCCCCTTGAGCGTTCCTAATTAAACTCGAGAAAAAAAAAAAAATTAAAAAATAAAGAAAGAAAGAAGGAAAAGACATGGTGCGGTGATGTAGTCGTAGATTTCATTACAGAAGCCACCTCCGACTGACTCAGAGGCAAAAGGAGTTTGTTTCTGTTTTTGTATTTTCAAAACCAAATCTCACCCTTTTTCCTTTCCTTTCTCATTTCATTCTTTCCAAATTCCCACCTCTCAGCTTTCTCTTCTTCCGAGGAAACCAATCCGTGACCGATCCAATGTCGTTTTGAATCGCGTGCCTTCCTCCTCTCTTATAAGCTTGAACTGCTCTCTGTGTGTGTTTCAAGAAAGAAAGAAAGAGAGAGAAAGAGGAGCTGGCAAATGGGAATGGGTTCGAAGATGGAAGGAACGTCTACCCCAGCAATTCGACGTGACCCATATGAGGTTTTGTCCGTGTCAAGAGACTCAACCGATCAAGAAATTAAAACCGCTTACAGAAAGCTTGCTCTCAAGTACGTTTCTTGTCTTCTTTCATCTTCTTCCATCTTACACTCTTTTCTATTTTTTTCAATTCCCTTTCGGGTTGTGTCTTTCTTGTTTGAATTTTTCATGCGGGTACTTCAAGAACCTTTGATGGCGACGATGAACATTTTTACCTAATAAACTTTCATGTTAAAAATTCCACTGACTACAAGAAGGGGACTGGGGTGTATAGAGGATGATCAATTCAGTTAAATCTATATAATCAAGGAGTTTGTTTAGTTATTTTCCGGATAAGAATGACAATGAAAAAAAGAAGAACATATATGGGATCTTTTACATATTTCTTTATGATTGGCAGGTATCACCCTGACAAAAATGTCAACAATCCTGAAGCTTCAGAACTATTTAAAGAGGTTGCATATTCTTACAGTATCTTGTCTGACCCAGAGAAGAGAAGGCAATATGACAGTGCAGGATTTGAGGTTCATTTCTTCCTGTCCTTCCTATGTGAATCCAAAGCTCTTTTCTCATTCCTTTTCTGATCTGTTTTTCCTTTCCAACCCTTCCTACAATGTGAAAGCAAAATATGTGGCTTGTGATGCACCTAAGATTGGCTTAGAAATATCCGTCCGTGCGTGTGTGCCATTTTGATCTTTTTAGGCTTATTCTATAGTTTAGAGAATTTTAGTCATTGTCCGTTATTTCTTTAATTCTCTTTTTATTGTACTTTATCTCCTTTGATTGCACATGATTTCTTTTGATTCTGTTTATTTTATTTTTGTTCTGGACGAACATTAATGGGTATTCTCCATCTCTCATAAAGAACCTTCCATATATATATATATAGCCCAAACCATGCGGTTAGGATAAACGTGGGTAGTTATGGTGATCGTGGGTGGTTATGGATAACCCAGTTTGAGATCATGGTAGGGCCCTAAATGATACTAATACGTGGGCCTCCTACCCGGCCTAGTAAATAATCCGAGCTCGTGACCCCAATAAGATATTAGAGGGAGACTAAGCAGGAACCCGGAACAATTTTCATTTTATTTTGTTTTGCCTATTTAAGGCTAGGAGAACTCCATTGTTAGTTGGTTGATTTTTGGTTAAATAAAATTTAGAAAAGAAAAATAGTTTTTCTCGCAATTCTTGTGTTCAGTCTTTCTTTCTGTTTAGCCTCGGCATTAGATTGTGACATTGGAGACGTATAAGTTATCTGGCTAGGCGAATTGACAAGAAATGTGTTGCTTGACTAGTTGGCTGTATTTCTTTTCTAAGATGCATGCCATTTTAGTAGCATGACTTTTCTGGTGATCTGAAATTGAACCTGCAAAGTTGTCTTAACTTTTAACATTTACATCTAGAAGAAAGGAGCTAAAGCATTCATATTGTCTGCCTGCAACTTGAAATTCGAGTGGATTGCATATTTACACGTATTATATAATTATATTTGTCTAACCAAACTTTGATTTCATGCATGTTAGTTGTGAGATTTGGGTCATTTGTTTCGGTACATACTTCATGTACATATGTGATGTTTTTTGTTTTCTTGTCTTACTTTCTTTTGGTAGATTATTATCTTTACCATCAATTCATGCATTCATCTCATTATTATGGCATTCCTATTCTTGAAAATTTAAGTTTCATCGGTATTCTGCTCCTTTATTGGTGTGTAAATGGTTTGATTTTATATATTATTACTATATATATTTATTAAAAGCTTTTCATGTTTCAGTTCTTATTCTTTTTGATATAGTTCTCCTCTTGATGTGTAACATTCTTAAAGCTATTCTGCCAATAAATATCAGGCACTTGATGCTGATAACATGGACATGGAAATTGATTTATCTAATCTTGGGACTGTGAACACAATGTTTGCAGCTTTATTCAGGTGTGAATTTTAGTACAGGACTACTTGGTTTTGAAAATTATTTGGCTTTACTTTGTACCTTATTCTATTTGGTGATGCCGTGATAGCAAGCTGGGAGTCCCTATCAAGACTACCATTTCAGCTAATGTTCTTGAAGAAGCTCTGAATGGCACAGTTACAGTCAGACCCCTTCCTATTGGGACATCAGTCAGTGGAAAGGTTCTTACTTTCTTCATGACGAATGAAGTGATTCAGTAGTCTTCCTGGTGGTGTTTTTGTTCCACTTATGTCACAATTTGTTGCAGGTAGAGAAGCAATGTGCTCATTTTTTTGGTGTAACAATAAATGAGCAGCAAGCTGAGTCAGGGATTGTAGTAAGAGTTACTTCAACTGCACAAAGTAAATTCAAGGTATCACTTAGGCATTTATTATAACAATTCCCCTGTCTTTGTTTTTCTGTCTTTTGCAATTTTACTTCCGGTTAATATGGTATTGGATTGTGATATTGAAGGCTGATTTTTCAGCTGCTCTACTTTGAACAAGATGCAAATGGTGGCTATGGTTTGGCATTGCAGGTAATGTTTATTGTTCTAGTGCTTTTACATTTGCTCCTTCCTCCCTTTGGTTTATCAAACAAATGGATAATAAATTGAAATGACTGTACCCACGGTGAGTGGGTTGAGGTGGTAAGCAGTCTCAAGTCTCAACCATCTAGAACAATAATGCGAGTTCAAATCTCATGGAAGGAGCTCCTGTGGGAAAGCCACATAACCCTTGTGCTCCCATGTCCAAACAAGGATTAGTCTCATAGGTGGTTCGAATGGACCGAACTTGAGCAAATACATAATGGGTTTACCAAAAAAATAATAATTAAAATGACCATAAACTTGGTATTAGATTGTGGTTGTGTCTCTGGAATGCTAGATTATCAAAGTGTTATCCATTAATATAGCTTAACTTCTCTCTCTCTCTCTCTTCCCCTTTACCCTTGTAGCATAATATTGATAACCATTTAGCATTAGAAAACAATCCTTGCACCTGATTATTTTCTATTAAAATAAGTGGAAGCATGACAGCACAAATTTTAATACTATGGCGGCTGCCATTAAGCCTTTGGCCTTGTGGTACCTGTGTCTCTCATCTTGACAAAATCATGATCCCAAAAATGTCAAAGTTTGCCAAACCCCAAACATGTTTTGTAGCTGGATTATGTAAAGTAAGTGGCGGTTCAAAAGTAATTGATTGTAAATTGCAACCTGCAACCTGCAACTAGTCATTTGTATGGGTTATGTTAAGATACACTATGTGAATTGTGCTTAAGCTATTTGTAATTGATTGTAGATTGCACGAATTGCAATTAGCAGTTTATTGAAGTAGTACTGATGTAATTACTATTCAGTGTATATTTAGTTATATTGTATTCCAACTGTCTTTGCAGGAAGACAGTGAGAAGACTGGCAAGGTGACGTCTGCAGGAATGTATTTCTTACATTTTCAAGTGTACAGAATGGATTCAACTGTGAATGCGGTATGAAAAATATGTTCATTTGGTTTCTTTTACTTTGTTGCTGGCTGTTTGGAAAGCGGCTGTTACTTTTAGTGCTGTGGTGCAGTTAGCGATGGCCAAGGATCCTGAAGGGGCTTTCTTTAAAAGGTTGGAAGGTCTTCAACCTTGTGAAGTCTCAGAACTAAAGCCTGGCACTCATATATTTGCTGTTTATGGTCTGAATAATTTATTTTGTTATATTGCTCTTTTTCTTGCTTGGGCTATTTTTTCCTATAAACTATTTAACACATTTACACTGATTCAAGTTGATATTGTTTAGGAGATAACTTCTTTAAGACTGCTAGCTATACAATTGAGGCAGTATGTGTGAAATCACATGAAGAAACCACCCAAAAACTTAAGGACATTGAGGCTCAAATTTTAAGAAAGAGGAATGAGCTACGCCAATTTGAAGCAGAATATAGAAAGGTTATTATTGTCTTTAGTCATTCATGGTTTAAATTTTGTTTTGAGGCACTTACAGTGTTGTTTCTCTTCATACTTTTCAGGCATTGGCTCGTTATCAGGAAGTGACAGACAGATACACAAAAGAAAAACAGACTGTACGTTCTTTCAACATGTGCTACAGTTACAACACAATTGCATATCTGGAAATGTTCACATTTGCATTCTTTTTAATACTAATTTTGTCCACAGCTTAGTCGATAATTATTTGAAAAGTGGCAAGCTAGATCTAGCGCAAATTTTTCTCACCTGGTTTGTTTGGCTGGCCAAAACATGGCCCGTAATCTGTAGCAGTCACAAATGTATAATTCAAAAGGGAAACAAGGAAACAACTCAATTGTAGTGCCATAAGATGCTAATCCTTGGTATTTCCTTTAATGTGCACTGCTATGTGAATATGATGTGCAACATGTCAAAAGAATACACTATTTTAAAAGTTGACCTATTAATGTGCCCCTACGTACAAGAGTTACTTGGGTTTGAAGCATGAATAGAGCACAGGCCCACTCAAACCTTGGACTGGAATTATAATTTTAATTAGAAGAATAGGGTGGCATGTTTGCTGTTGTTAGTTATGTTTTTGCTTTTGCTTACAAAAATACTTTCTTGTTTTAACATTGTTTCCTGTTTTCGAGATGTCATGAATGAAATTTTGAAAATAATAAGATTTTGTTATTTTCATCATTTCTTTTGCAAATTTCTGAAAACGAGAAGCAAAGTGAAAACAAGGTGGCATTTTTACCGTTATTAGTGAAAATATATCAACCTCCTTCCCCCCTTGGCATTTCCATTAAATATTTTTTATCATCAGTCATTTGTTACCCTTACCATTATAATATGATGTAACTTTTCTGTTGTTATATCTGTGACCTTCGTTGAGGCTTAGTTGCTTTGCTACCCAGGTAGACGAGCTTCTGAAACAAAGGGACAGTATCCATTCTTCCTTCAGCATTTTCAAGTCAACCAATATTAGTGGAAGTGGTAGTAATATAAGCAATGGAAGTTCTAGCAAAATTTCTGGTGAAGATTCCAAAGTTGAGAGCCCTGGGGAAGATGGAGGGTCAGATGGCAAGGATAAATCAGGCAAGAAGAAATGGTTTAATTTGAATATTAAAGGTTCTGATAAGAGGTTGATTTAAGATGCACTTGATTTTGCTTGTCTCTCTATCAACCAGCTTGTTTCTGTGATTGCATCAAACTTATATCAGCCTGCGGATATTCCGGTTGCGGTGTATGTCTGGAATATTTTCCTTTCCTTGGTTCCACCAAGTTGTATATTGGTTGGTTAATCTGTTCATTGGTATGCGGTGCATTCAAAGGTATACGGTATATGTTACTGTTTCCAATATTTTTGTCGTCCAATTTGAGACTCACATCATCCAATTCCTTGAACATATATAGTTTTGATATTGTAGTGATATATTCATTCTTGTAACACTTATTTTCTTCATCCTTGTTCTTTATTATCGAACACGCCAGCCAAAAATATATATAGTGTAGATGAAGATATATGTTTTACATAATACACTACTAGTATTGCTCTTTTAATTTTCTTCCCCATCTTGCTTGATATTAACACGTTAAGACACCACGTAAGATGGCTTATTGATCATTTCCCCTTGCTTCGAATTAAAAAATTTCGGTGTGAAATTCTCTTATTTTTTTATGAACATTCATTAATTTGTATGTGCAATCACCTAACATACTTGTGTGCGCCCGCTGGCAGTGATTCTTTACTCCTTGAAGCTTTCGTTGGGCTTTTTACCTTTTGGGTTTCATAGGGCCTAAAATAATCTATAAGGAAAATGATAGCTCATTAGAGTTTTTTATAAATAATTTGTGACGATTCTTACATGGTTGATTGGATCATACCATATTCCATCAAATATAATTTTGAAATTATGTTCAATTCTGTCAAAATTTTAGTTATTCTTGACCATGCATACTTTTTTTTTTCATTTCATTTTTTTTAAATGAGAAGCGCACAAATTCAATTCTGTCAAAATTGTAGCTATTTTTCCGCTTGGATTTTGTTTTAAAAATAAGTATTTATTTTTTGAAATTAAATGCCGTTTCTTCACTTTTTTTTAAAAGGTATTTTTTAATTAAATTTATATCTTAAAATTTTGAATATAATTAGATAAAAAAATTTAAAAATAAAAGGAAATAACTATATGGATGTCTAATCTTCTCTGGAGGCAATAATATAGCCATTATTTTAAGTAGTCAATTATTTGCCATGTTAGTAGTTGTGATGTGAAGTTTCAATCATAGGAGTAATTTTTTAATACTACGGGTGTACCCAACTCGGTACACATGTTTACTAAAACGGGTATTTTTTTTTCTAATTTCAGTCCTTACTTCTTTTTTATATTTCTTTCTATGTCCAAAAAAAACTTTTTCCATTTGTTAAAGGTGTAGGTACACCGAAAGTTTGCTCCAATCATAGATCATTAGAATGGTTTCCCTTAAGAAAGTTATTATTGGCCTTACAATTAGACTCCTAAGAAAGCTCGAGAGTTGCTCAAAGATGCCATTCAGTTATCACTTCCGTAAATTGCCAAAGATAATTTCAAACCTAATCCTTTGGACATGGTTTCTTTTACACTATTTATTACGTACTCTCATGACTAGATTTAACTGGACTTTCCCCCTTCAATTCATAACCAACATATGGCCTCAATGATAAACCAAGTTTTTCCATGGATTGATTTGAATTTTGAACTTTGAGCACTGACACGCAAGACATATATTGACTGTTGAAAATTAGTACCATAAAATGGAATACTATATCAGCCTTTAGAAAATTCATGCAGATTGTTGGGCTATATTCGTACTGAGGAGACTACCATGTTATAGACCCTTTTGTTTAAAAGCTAAAGAAAATAAGGGTGGGGATGACTTTATGCGTTAACATTAACTTGTACTATTATTTGTAATCTAAACAAGCTTCTCTTGATTTCAATCTAATCAGTCACATAGTTTAATGAGTTAGGCCACTACTTGCATCTGCTTGGATTTTCCCAAGAAACAAACTGCCACAAACCCAAGGAAATTTTCATACAAGTATTTTTTTTTTTTTTTTCATAATGCACGACAAGAAACTTTAAAAATTAATAACCCCCCCCCCCCCCCCCCCTTTCTAGTACACCACGTCCCATAGACACATCCACCCTCCTTTAAAAAAAAACACCAAGTATCAAATCTTTTAAAATATAGTTTTTATAGCATAAAATTAAAATTTACCGTTTGATTAAAAGCTATACAATATTAATATGTTATATTAAATCTTATGTTTTATGATGTTATAAATACATTATTAATTTTGATATTGTGCAAGATTTAAAATTTTGATAACAATTATATAAAGCTTACGATTAAAATATCATATGAAATATTTTCAAAGGGGAAAACAAGTTAGAGGGAAAATAGGAATATTTGATAAAGGAAAAAACTACTCTTATGCTACATGTGACAATTTTCTCTCATACGCATCATTCGATAACTGTGCCACTTTTTTTTTTCCAGATGGTGGAGCTCGCAAATTTGTCTCTATGACATGAGATAATGTATCTCCTTTAACATGAGATTAATAAAACTCTTTGATAAATTATAAAAGGGAAATGAATGCCATTTTATGAATTAAATAAGAAATGTTAGAAAAATATATAAAATTTTGTTCAACAAAACTGTAGAATCTTAATCCCAAAGGAGGTACGTATGTGATAACATAAATTTGTAGAATGAATTTTAGAATGTGATTTCATATATATATTTTTTTCAGTCACAAATATGAGATTTTTATTGAGTTTATGATTAAGGGCCCGTTTGGATGGACTTTTAAAAAAATAATTTTTTTATTTTGCTTATTTTAGAAGTGTTTTATTTTTTTACAAAAGTTGAAACAACTTAGTTTTTTTTTTTTTTAAAAAAAGTTGGTATTTGACTTCTGCTTTTTTCAGAAGCTAAAATTTTTAGCTTCCAAAAAAAAAAAAAATCAGATTTTTGATTTTTTTTTATAGCTTATGTTTTTTTTAAAGCAGATATCCAAACAGATTTTATAATTTTTTTTCTTAAAAAAATAGCTTTTGGAGGAAAAAAAAAAACATATTCAAATATACCCTAAATACGGAATGATAGTCCATTTCTTCACATTAAACATGACATTGTTTTCACATTCATAATTGTTTAAATTTCATAATTGTATCCAAAATTATACTTAATCAATGTTAAGATTAAATAAAATATATTTCTTGAAAGAGTTAATTTTTATATAATAAAAGAATACTAATAATTTTTCACCCAAAAAAATAATTCGTAATTGGTTTTAACGAATTCAAATTCAAATTCAAATTTTATTTTGGGTAACCTAATCATGGATTTTCTCAGGAGAATCTAATGGAGAATTGTGTCCACATGCGACCGCATAGTTTGTAGGCAGTTTCCCTAGCTATAGATTAATTATCTCTTTGACGTAGTTAGGTAGCAAACTAGCAAGCTATATAAGTAAAGCATATTTTTCATATTGTTGTTTAATTTACCCGACGATTCTATCAGAATTTAGCCTGAAAGTTCTCTCTTATATATCCAATACATCAATATCAAGTCTATCAAATTTCACTTTGTATTTACTGCCCCTAATTAAGAACGCTGCAAATTAAAATATAACAAGAGTACTAGATAAAATTGATATGCTTGCATAACAAAATTCCGATCATATTTGTGAATAATAGTTTCAGTATAACAAGATTCGAGCACTGTTGCAGTCACCTTCATCTAATTTTAAATTTATTGATAAAGTCTATTGTTTTGATGAGAGGAATCTGAATAAAAATTTGTCTTTACTAGAAAGATAGGAGTTCCAGAAAAATGAAAGTTGTCCTATATTTCGAATAACTAATACTAAAAAATAGGTTCCCCGAAAAAAAAAATCGTCTTCCTAGTAGAAACATTGGGAATCTATATTTAAGAATGAACATTGTAAAATATGAAAAAATTCCAATCATAGAAGATGAAACTTAATTAATAGTAAATCAACTGGAACAGCCGAAATTGGTGTAGTGATAAGTGATAATTGGTCAATAAAGAAAATCTGGAGAGCTGCAAACATTTTAGTGCCCATGGGGAACTAACAAATTGTTCCCCAAGTAGTGGTGGATTCTAGATTTTTCGTGATAGGGGACGAAAATAAAATAAATTTATAAATATTATTAAGAATAATAAAATAGACTAATTATTATAAGTATATTTTTTTGAGAGGTTAACTATTGTGTGTGTGTGTTTTTTGGAAGTTATGTTATGGGTGTGTTTAATACTGCTTTAGGATACCCGTCTTAATGTTTCTCACTTTTTTAGCAAATCATGCACTTGTTTTTGTCTCATCGGTTGACCGTAGTTCCCCTTCTCTCTAAAAAGTAAAAACTCCGTTCACGTGAACTTTCAAAGGTTTATTTAACTCATAAAAGGCGCAAGGGATTTTCGAATTGCTTTTTTTCTTTGTCATAATGTACACATTCTTGACCAGGGTCTGTTTAGTGTGACATATAAGGCATGATAATATAAAGTTATACTATACAATATGACATTTTCAGTTGTTTAAGACTTGTTTGGTACATAGTATAGAATAAGGCCTGATAGTATAAGACCTGATAGTATAAGATCTGATTGTATAAGACTTGATTGTATAAGACCTGATTGAATTTTAATACTATCCAGCGTTTGACACAGTATTGTATAAAATAATATATTGTATGAGATAATATCATCTAGTATTTGGTAATGCATTATATAATACTATATATGATAAAAATAAATATTTTTAATAAAAATATCCTTTAATAAAGAATTTATATAATTCTTCAAAAAATGTCATATGATATTAATTTTTATAAAAATTTATTGATCAATGTGTCCAAAATATAAATTAATTTTTATAAAAACAAAAATATTCAATATTTTGAAAATTAATATATTGAAAAATTTATTTTTATTTTAATAGATTAATATTAAAATAAAATATTAATTTTTGAGAATTACATTGGTCAACGATGTTAATACATCAATCTCTTATCAGGCCTTATCCCTCACCCCTAGGCCGGATTAAGTTATACATCGTTTTGATGTATTAAGGGATTATGTTGTATACGCTTATACTATACAATGGTAACACCAAACAACTGAAAATGTCATAACTTATAGTATAAGCTTATACTATCATGCCTTATACGTCACACCAAACAGGCCCTTATTGTGATCATCGTATAGTATAAGCTTATACATAGGGGTGGCAATTTGGGTTGACCCGCCCCGCCCCGCCACCAACCCGCCAAAAACGGGGCGGGGTGGGTTGACCCGCCAAAAAATATGGGTTGTAAAAATGAACCCACCCCGTTTTATGGTGGGTTGGCAGGTCAACCTACCAACCCGCCAATTAAAAAAAAATTAATTAAAATTCAAAAATAAATTATATTTTATGAATTTTTTTAATATTAT